TTAGGAAAACTATTGTATTATGAAAATATTAGAAGTGTTACATAACTGTAACACTTTGACTCACTTTCTGAAATGCAAAGAGGGCGTTTGTGAGTTTGTTTCCTGACTCTTAAAAGCTTTTTACAAGTTTTGCTCTACTACAATGAACTGTGACACAAATAATCAAAGTCATATTCTCAGAAGTAGTAATATTCAATTTGGACTTCTGTGAAATTGCTATTTGGTTATCTGTGAGGGTTTAGATTCAGGAGGGTGAGGTTGCCTCTACCATTAACTATGGCATTGCTTCTGTTCTCACCCAAGCTATGCATGGTGCTTTACCAGTAACTGACCATTTAAATGTTTTATATTTAAAACAAAGAGTTTTAATCTCAGGTTACTTTTAGTTTAACTTCAATAATTAAAAAAAAAATTAAGGAAATTTCACCTTTATTGTTGATAGAAGTTTGCGTATATTAAAAAGGGATAGGCAGGCCTAATTTTAAACTACATGCTTTAATTAAAAAACACTTGGTTATGAGTATTTATGATGAGCAAAATAATTAGTATAAGAAGTTATAGATGGTGTTTATATAAATGTTCTTATAGTTGTACTTCATGGCTTGACAAGAAACATCGATGGAAGATCTATAAGACCCAATTATAGAAGATCCTCAAGGTGAGGAAATTAACAAGCGTTATAGGAACGATGTACGTATGGCAAGAAAGAGGAACTTTGAGTTATGTAAGACTCAGAGGAACAATGATTATGAGGAGTTTTTAAAAATGTGCTTAGAGCATCATAATGATAATGGCACAAAAATGTTATAATCCTTTATATACATATATAAACATTCTAAGTGCATAGAGTTATGCTACCAGTTATATTGGTGGATATTTTTAAAAAGTATTAATTATAAAATGATAGGTACTTAAGAATATATGTATGTGATTATATACTTCTAAGTAATATCATTAAACTTAGGACACCATAATCATTTTTATACTATAGTTTAAACTGTCATTATTTTTGGAGACTGCATCTTGACATAGAGTTTGTTCTTCTTGGACAACGATTTAGTCAGCCTAGAGAGAGCTGGGAGAATAGTTAAAAACTTATTGGCTTTGCCAAGTGCTTTCATATGTTTCTGCTCTCATGGAAAATGAGTTTTGATTTCTTTTCAGCCTACATGCATGGCAAAGCTAAAATGAAAAACAAAGCTAGCAACTTTCAACCAGTTATAGTTAAGTTTGGTATTCACATACTGCTTTGATCTTCTCTAGAGCTTCACAATATTTATTTTCTAGCGCAGGGAAAACTAGTTTCAGCACTAAGCATCATTCAAGAGTAGCAAGGAATAGGGAACTAATTAAGTTTAGGATGAAATCTAGCTAATTTTACATCTTTTTCTGTATTAGAAACTAGACCGGTTTCACAGTTTTTGTTTGTTTGTTTTAGTTTAGAATTCCCAGAGAGCTCTCATCACAGGCAAAAATGCTCCCCATAATGAACACAACCTACCCTCATTGATAGTTCTCCACAGCTGTGTAGCTCAAACTTCACACAATTTTGGTCCACTATCAAGTCCCCAATTTTCTCCCCACCCCACTTTAGCCCCTTTTAGAACAGTGTTATCTATATACAAGTCTGCCAGAGTGGGGCAGTGAAAAAGTTACTTACTATGTTCTACTGGCTTATACTAATCACAATACTTTGCAACCATGACCATTTTCATAGTTCTTCGGAGTCTTTTATTTGGTACTGAAACTATCGTTCTTCAAACGTGTACTGTGACAAGTACTTCATTACTTCCTTCTAAACAAAGATGATTGGATGGCATGTAGTTTTAAAAATTAGCGTAATTTCTGTATCAGAAATATGTGAACCCATTGAATAAAATAATCTTTAGTTTCTTAAAGTTGCTTAAATTAAAAACATGAGTTTCTGCAGTTGGAAAAAACATGTATGCTTAAAATGTTTGAAGCCCATCAATCTCTCTAACCACATAAGCTAATGAGTTCCTTCTGTTTTCTTTGAATGAAATCACCATGAGTGGTTAGATGTTGATTTAACATAAAACAAATGGAAATGGGTGTTTCCTTTGTCCTTTGCAGAATGTATTTTTAAAAACAATTAGCAAGTATTATGAATAAGTCAATGATTTTGCCATTACTTAAATAATAATATAGATTGAGTAGTTAAACTGATTGGATTGTAGGGAATGCATAACATACTCCAGCTCCCCTTAACTTGCTAACATCTGCAGACATTATTAAGCTTCTCATTTCATTTTTTTTCTACTATAACACCTGTATTGTTATAAATTATATTTTGAATTGTCATGAAGTGTCAAGCAAATTATGTTTTTGGATGTGTGTGCATTTAAGTATTCCTTTGTAATGGCAGGTTTGTGGCTAACAGCTTAATCTTGGATATATCAATGCAATTAAAAACTCTTTCAATTCTTCTTTATGGATACAAAGAAGGTTGAAGTATTATGTGTAAAGTGCAAGGAAAGAATGAAGAAAATTCTTTAATATTTAAAACATTATTCTAGAGAAGGGATACCGTTAGATGTAATTTTTCAAACACAGCAAACTTATTGTATTCTTAGAAAAAAGGTGTTGCACCCTCTGAACTCTGTAAAATACACATCCTATTGAATTAAAATTAAAAACTTGTATGAGGCATTTTCCGCTCCCTGTCGTTTAAACCCACTTCTGACAACTTCTCCCCTCTCCCATGCATCCTATTTTTGTGATGTAGTCTCTTTAGGAACATAGTGGAGAGTGACTCACTCATGTCCAGAGCATCGAAGAATGTCAGAAGTATGAAATGTAGGCAGTGAGTTCTTCCAAAGATTCTTTCTAAGAGAGTTAAATAAATAAGTAAATAAGCCAACATATGGCCAGCTTAATTCAGGCAAAATTTCTATTGATTACTTACTAAGCTCACTAAATAAAAACTTCAGACCAAGTTTTGCCTCCCAAAAGAAAATAGGATTAGACTGATCTATGCACTCATTGGAGCTTCTTGTGAATCATGCCCAGATGAGTGAAAAACCTTCAAAGATAAACAAAAGAAAGGGCTAAAATCTTTCAGTAAATGCAAATTGTTATTAGTTTAACATATTTTAGTTTATGATCTTGCATAAAATAATTTCAAATTCCAAAGGAGACCATGATATAAATGACCTCTGAGGTCTGAGAATTCTATTATTCTGCCTTCTTTTCAACTACTTTAAAGTAGCCTGATTTAATTTTCCTAGTTAGGTCTATAGTATGTATACATTTTGATAGACATAAAAACTCAGGTACATTATAAGGTTTCACACCAGCTCTGCATAAGTGTGTTTTCTACCGGACTAATTTATATCCTGCGTCAATAATATTTCAATTATGTTATCTAAGACATTCCGAATGGAAGTGTTTAATGCAGTTTACAGCACAAAAGCTCTAAGTGGCTCGTCTTATCTTTTGGAATGGTGAGAATATTAAAACATCAAGACATTAAGTAGAAAGAAATTTGATCATCAAGGATTCCTGTTTTGGGAATTATAACAAGTCAATCAAAAGAGCATGTTTCATTTATTTGCACTTATGTATTTTTATGATTTTTTGTAAGAATAAACTTGGCCAGTAGCTGGATTTACTGTAGTAGTACAAGTATCTGACTTTGTAACAAAATACTGATAGGTATTTAGAGTCTTCATGTTTTTTGAACGATCTGCTGTTGACATTTTAATAACATTGTTGTTTGAAATGATTTCTGAAGTATGATGACTGCAACATACCCGCAGCAACAAAAAGTACATATTGTTTCTGAAAGCAAAGAAGCTCAAGTTTCGTCCTGTTTTCTAGAGGTTTTAAATCTTAAAAACCAATGCGAACATGCTTCTTTAATTGATGTCTGCATTCATTAGTACAATCAGTGATTTAGAACTACATCTGAAAATTCCGTCACTTTCAGCTCAGAAATTTTATAATTAAAAAAAAAAAAAATCCAAGTTTGATTTTCTTAGTATGCAGAGGACACTTAACTGGCTTTTAAACATTTTTCAAGTGTGATTTGCCCCGTCGTGGTCGGTTCTCTTCACGTTGGGTGCATCGTTGGCGCTGCCTGGCTGTTAGTTGACACTACCAACAGAGAGGTGCAAGGAAGTGTGATCAGAGGACAAGACCAAAAGCGGTTTCAATGTAAGGAAATGAGGGAAACAGACCTAACAGCACGACGAACGCACTTGCGAGTAAAGAGCCTTGTAGTCTCCTTTCCTTCCTCTGCTTATCCTGGTGGGTTTAATCAAAAACAAACAAAACGCTCTTGTGAAATATAGTCAATAAAGCCAAAGTTTGGCTAGCTCTCTGTGACTACAAAGAAAAAGTCATCGCAATTTTAAAAAATGTAACTTTCATTAACGAGCGCGCCGGAAATCTCAGGTATCAAAGACACATTAACCCTGGAGCGTCCCCCGCGCGCCGCAGCCGGACGGAGGCTGCCGCGGCGAACAGACGTTCTTTCTCCTCCTCGCAGTCACACAAAAGGAGGGCTGCGGAAACTAAAAGTTTCGGGGCCTCGGGCTCGCAGCGTGGAGAAAAGAGAAAACCTGGAGACAGGGTGGGTAAAAGATGCATCCTGGGCGCCTCTTTCAAGTGCAGGCAAGGAGAAAGCACTCGGGCCTGGAGGGGAGAGGAGAGGGGGCCCCGAGCCGCTGGCCAGCCCCCTGCGCCCCGCCTCCTAGGCTGGAGCGCCTGGCTCTGCCGCGCTCTCCCAAATACCCTTCACCCCGTTCCAGAAATAAAATAAATGTTTTTAAAGTGCGTGTGTGTGGAGAGGATGGAGAGCGCGCGGAAGACCGAACGCGCAGTGAGTGGAGTTTGAGGGGGTGGCGGGAGGGGTTGAATGTGTGTGTTGATACCGTAGCGGGGGAGGCTGGATGCGGAACCCCGGGACTGGAGGGGGGGTGTCAAGGCCAAAGGGGAGGGGCGCTAGCCGCTGCAAGCCGCCTCCCGAGCGCGTTCTGCGGCTGTGTGCGCGCGTCCCTCGCCGCCGCTGCCCGGACAGCCCTGCGGCTGCCCCGCCGGCGGAGCCGGGGCCGGCCTGTCCTCGGGCGGCTGCCTGGCCACCGCCACCCGAACAGCTCCAGCCCGTAAGTGTCCCCTTTCTCTCCCCTCCCCCTGTTCGGGCGCACCGCCGCCGCAGCTGCTCAAATGGAGTGGAAAACGGCCATTGGGCGGCAATGAGTTATAGATTATCTGCTCCACGTTTTGTACTTAGCTGCCTGTAATCTTCTTTTGAGTTTGCCTGAGCCCCTTGCTGGAAAAATCAGGAGGGAGAGATTTGTCCTTTGCCACTGTACACGATAATATGTTTATATGATTAGCCAAATTCGGCGGAGTGGGGGGTAGGTGGGGGTGTGGGGAGAAGGAGGAGGAGGAGGAGGACGCTGGAGGTGACTCCAGTTCAGACCTCGCCGTGAGTCTGTGTCAGGACTTCGCACTCCCCCGTCTCTCTCCCTCTCTCCCTCTCTCTCCCTCTCTCTCCTTCTCACTCCCTCTCACTCTCTCTCGGCGCGCGCACACACACACACACACACACACACACACACACACACACACACGCAGAGGTGCCGGAGCTAAATCGGGAGCTTACCGGAGAATTCCTTGGGATCGTTGGGGGACATCTCCCCTCCGTTGCTGTGCGTGGCGTGGCTCTTCCGTGCACCTCCCTGCTTCCCCGAGCCCTCGCCTTCAGCCCTTCCCGGGGCAGCGGCCGCCGCTGAGCCTCGGCCCGGAGACCCGAACTGTGAGGAGGGGCAGCGCTCTCTCCCGCCCCAGGCCGCAGGGTCTGCGCCAGGGATGCCAGTTGGGCCGGCGCGGACCGCGGGCTGAGGGGCTTAGCCGGACAAACTGAGTTGGCCTCGCGCCGCCGGCGTCTGCCCGCCCCTCCCGCGGCTGGCGCTCTGAGGGGACTCCCAAGTCTGCGCACCTCTGTCGGGCTTTTGCCTGCTCCACCCCTTTCGCTCTGCTTCCCGATTTTTTTATTTTTCCAAGGGAGCGTGCGGTCTGGGGGTGTGTGCGTGTGTGCCCAAGACTCCTCTTGCGGAGCGGCGAGTGGGAAACTGCAGGAAAATGTTGACCTAACCCCTGGAGCCGCCCGGCGCTGGCTGCCTGGCTGGAGGAGGCGGC